ACAGCTTAAACAGACTCATAACAAACAAGGAAATTGAAACTATAATACAAAAACTCCCAATTAAAAAAAAAACCAGGCCCAGATGGATTCACAGCGGAGTTTTCTTTTATTAAGCAAAAACTTACTTTGTATTAGTTATTTGAGAATTTCATACAGGTGGGGTTGGGATTTCTTACCCACTTCCAGTGGTCTATTCTGGAATTTTGTCTGGTTTGAGCTTGCATAGGACTTGTGTATGCTCCTTGTTTTTGTTTTAAACACATATTTAAGTTCAGTCTATGCTGCTCATATACTCTTGGGTGTGTAGCCATCTACTGGAGCATGGTCAACCCACCAGGGACCACATGCTTAAAAGAAAATCAACTGTCCCCTGGCAGCAATCAATTACCAACAGCTCCTCAACTAGGGGTGGGGCATCTGACCTCTTCCCGACTCTATGCTGGGCTTTCTCCTGGCTTGAGTTTGAACAGGTCTGTGCACGCTGTCACACCCACCGTGAGTTCATATATGCAGCTGCCCTGTTGTGCCCAGAAAACACTGTTTCCTTATGGTCATCCACCACCTCTGGCTTTTACAATCTTTCTGCTCCCTCTTCCACAATGATCTCTAAGCCTTGGGAGGAAAGGGCATGATATAGGTGTCCTATTCGGGGCTAAGCACTCTGCATCCTGGATCCCTGGAACTCTCTACCTCTCATTTAACTCATGAATTGGCTTCATTATCTGATTTTGTTCCTGGATTACAGATGGTTTGGCTTCTGCTTTGAAAGCACTTTCTGTTCTGTTTTCTTCTCTTTCACAACCATGTGGTTTCTGATTTAAAGGTACCATACCATGCTGTGTGTGCTGAAATGATATGTATTGCTTATTTCAGAGCTCGGAGTAGGGGGTGGCATAGCCTCTAATGCCATCAATAGCCCCTTGGGGAATATCCTAGCAAAATGTTGTGATTATGCTTATAAGCCTATGAAAAGGAAGAAAATGCTATGATATTGTAATGTAGTTTGGCCTCTTTATGTTTTGGGTTCCAGTAGAAACGACCATTAGGTTGTTCTCTAAATTATTACATAAATTTGCAATGAGAGTTTTTTGGCCAAGGATTGAGAAAAGAGAGAAATAATTTAAATCTACCAAACAGACTTTACCTTCTGACATTTTGCTTTTGTTTAAGGCAGTTTTGTGTAAGTGATGTAAATGTTTGTACCTACAAGTGCAATCTGAACTAATGTAATTTTTAAAAATTTTGCATCTAAAAGCATATGGACTAAGATTTAATCTGCCTCTACAATTGCATTCCTGGATTTAAAAAAAGGATGGAATGCAAGTGTACTTGGCCTAAGTGCCCCTCCTGTATATCTCAAGTGCTTAAAAAATAGTGATAAAGCTTTTTAATATAATCTTTTTCATTTTTGAGTGTTCCATATGGGTAGTACTATATTCTGGTGGAGCCTCTAGGCTCATTTAAATATATCATATTCTATGCAAATAGAATCACTTCCACCACAACGACTGCCCAGGAAAATACCCCTAATGGTGCAAAGGTGGCATTTTTATCTTGGGGGTTACCAACAGCTGCCTAACTGGTCTTATAGCCCATTCAGCAAAAGAGAGTTCATGCCTCATACCACTCATATAAAAGGTTGTGCTGGCTCTAATTCATTGACATCTGTTACTCACTCCACTTCCCATTATGGATTCGGAGCAGACAAGTCAGAACAGATAGTGTCTTGGTGATGAGAAGCAATCTAGACCAAAGTACCACATGGTTAGTCAGCAATGTCTTCAGAGAAAATTGTTCAGAGACAAGGGGAGAAAATGTCAGGATCAAAATGAACTCATGCTGAGCACGGTGGCACAGGCCTGTAATTTCAAACGATGACGGATATCGAGGAACAATAGAGAACAGTGCTTAGTAATAGATCCTCATGTCTGTGTCTGGATGTGACACCCAGGCAGAACATCAGTAAGGAAACAGCGGGCATGGGCAATACTGCAGAGCATGTGGCCCTAACAGACATGCGAGAACCTTCCAACTCGGTTCTCCCAGAGCACTCTCCAAGATGGGTAGTCATGGTAATCACAGAACAGGCCTCAGTAAATGAGGAAGATTTAAATCACATCAGCTGGGGCTGGAGAGATGGCTGACAGGTTAAGAGTACTGGCTTCTCTTGCAGAGAACCCAAGTTCAATTCCCAGCATCCACATGGCAGCCAACAAACATCTGTAACTCCCAGGGAAATTCAACACCCTCTGTCCTCCACGGGTACTGCACAGCATAGGTACACTTACATGCATGCAGGTAATATACTCATATACATAAAATAAAAAATAATGAATGAAATATTCAATCACATCAATTACATTTTTAAAATATTTTTATTTTGTGTGTATGAGTGTATTGCCTGTATGTGTGTGAGTGTGCCTGTGTTTTACAAAGCCCACAGAGGTCAGAAGAGGGCATTGTATCCCCTGGAACTGGTGTTACAGACGGTTGTTAGCCACCATGTGGGTGTTAGTAATCAAACTCGGGTCCTCTGCAAGAGCACTCAGTACTTTTAACCACTGATCCATCTCATCTCCAGCCCCTCAACTACATTTTAAGGCCGCAATTTATGAAATTACAAATCAGAAGCTAGGCATGATGGTGCACACTGGTAATCCCAGCACTTGGGAGGTAGCAGCTGGACCATCAGGAATTCAAAGCCTGAATTACATGAGACCTTGTCTCAAACCAGAACCAAAAACCAAAACAAAAGACCCCACAATAAATATAAAAATAAAAGGGAAACAGGAAAACTCACAAATATGTAGGAACTAAAGAACACCTGTTCAACAATCAGTGCTTCAAGGAAGAACCGAAAAGGAAAATTGTTTTGAGGAGGAAGAAGAACCAGCAGGAGGAGAGAGAGGATGTCGAGAGGACAAATAAGATCAAGTATAATGATGTACACGTATGAAAATGTCACAATGAGGCCATAAACATGAGAAAGACACAAAGCAGCAACTGGAAAGTCAGAAATGATCTCAAGGCAAAGCAGAAAACTCAACAGAGTAAACCTGGAGTGTGGCTCGGTGGTAGAACATCGGCTCAGAGGCCCTGCACCAATAACAAACTAAAATAAGAGCAAATAAAACCAGCAAATTCACTAAAAGGAAGACTGAAGGAAGTTTATAAGTGTGTCAACATTAAAAAGAAGAAATGGCCCAGAATGATGATACGCACCTGTAACTCCAGCCCTTGGAGGGCTGAGACAGAAGTATTGGAACTTTTCGGTCAGCCTGTGACACATAGCAAGATCCTGTCTTAAAACCCCCTCAAATATTTTTTAAATGAAGAAATATCCAAATAAACAGCATTGAGCACAAGACCCACGCCAACTCAATCAGACAAAGGCCCAGAGTGGAGCGAGGGAAATGGGCGGTGGGCGGCCCTAGTCTGGGAACCGTTGGAGACTGATTACTGCTGGGTGAGGGAGAGCGGACCTTAGTTACAATCTCTAGATGGGCTGACTAGACTCCCATGGATGAATTTGCGCCAACGGACATCTGGGTACAGATGCTTGACTAGATAGGACTTAGCATGTCTGATGAAATGCATGAAGTCCAGTGTGGAAGCATGGCTGGGGAGGGGTCCAAATTTGATTAAGAGCTGTTATATGAAATGTACAAAAGCTCAATTAAAAATTTAAAAAACTTAAATAAAAATCTGCAGATCTAGAAAAAAGCAAAGAAACCCTCCACTTAGCAGAATTTATTTTTATGTTTGTATTTTAAGTGTGTGTATGTGTGTGCACATGTTCCTGTGTAGCGTGTGACTGTTCACCTGCCACAGGGCGAATGTGGGGGGATGTCAACCTCACATGTTAGTATTCACTCTCCCTTTTATTTAATCAAGTTAATCCAGCTTGTAACTTTCCATCACAATAACACCTCCTTACTTGATCTCTAGCTCTGTTTTTCTCTGACAGTGCGCTGTTCCGTCAGTTGGGCCTCTCCTCTCCTGTCCCTGATCTTACATAAGGAGTTTCTCCCAGGGTTGACCCAGGAACCCATCCTGACTCAGGAATTGTCCAGCAGCCCCTGACCAACGGCATGCACCCTCCCAAACTATCATCAGCTAAGGGTTGTGCCCAGGATGCCCTAGGGATGGTCACAGTGTGGCACTCAGACTCACAGTCATAGGATACGACAGTATTGGGGTGAATCTCTCTTGTGCTCACAAAAAGGGAGTCAGCTCAGTACTGACCATGGGATCTTGGACAATGAGTGGAGATATCCCATTGCTCTTCTGCAAACAGGGGACTTGGAGCCCAGATGTCTGCTTTTGCCAGGATCCCTGATGTCACTTCCAGCACACATGGAGAATAACCTCCATTACTGACTCCTGATGATCCTCCATCAACTGGTTCCTCAATTTTGCCCTGTGTTCTATGAAATGGGTCCTTCTCCATCCGGGGATCATTTGGTTTTCTTTTTCTTCTCATGACCATGACGCTCTTCATATTTCACACGCATTATCATGGACCATCTATAAATGAATGCTCAGAGCAGATTAGACACTTGACCTGGGGCCTGCATTTGGCAACATCAACCTCTCATGTTCCAAACGCAGATTGTACACGATCTGAAAATCAGTGATGGCTGAACCTCCTACCCACCAGACACCATGACATAATAACCTGTCTGAGGAGTGAAGTGTTAACAACAGGCTCAGAACTTGGAACCTCAGATGAGATGCTAATGCTCAAGCTAGCATGGGCTGTGAATGACAGGTAGGCATTAAATAGAAACCAGCCCTGACCCAGGAAACACATACACAGGGAGGTAAGAATGGCTCTGAAGGTTGTTCGCAGTGAAATTGGGGTGGGTGACATTACTAAGGAAAGACAGGGAATTCCATACTGGGAACTGTTTGGCAGATGAAACCCATACCCAGTCATGAGAACAGCCGTGTTTCCTCCCTGACTCCCTGTGTGTCTCCTCTGTGCTCATCCCTAGGATAGAGTCTCTGTGTCCTCCCTGCAGCATCAACCTGCATCTTGGGGAGATGACTCACAGTGCCATGCAAATGGATGGACTGACAGACTAGACTGGAGGAGACCTCATGGGGAAGCTCTGAGAGAGAAGGAGCAAGCCTCACCCAGACTTACCTGGAAGGGGACAGCTGCTATGTAATGGCCCTCAGTGTGATGCTAGGTAAGGCAGACAGGAGTAAATTGGGAGAGGGAGCACTTCTACAGGAAATGAATACAGAGATTCTGGAAGCTGCCTGACACAGAACTTAGGAAATAAGAGCCACATGCCTGGGGAGAGCAGTTCCCCTTCCTGTGGAGCTGCTGAAATGACAGTGGTGTGGCAGGGGACAAAACCTCCAGAGGCCACACCCTGTGTTTCCTGTCCATCTGGCCAGGCCCCGTGGCCTCATCCATAAACACAGTTGTGGCCACTGGGAGATGCCATGACTATCGCATTCACAGCCCTGCTCTGTCTGGGTGAGATGTAAGGATGGGGAGGGGACACTGTAGTCTGAGAGGGACTGTGCTGCACAGCCCAGCACTGGCCTGTCAGGGGACCTCAAGCTGACCAAGAATATCTGGGGAGGAGAGGAAATGCTCAGGGTTCAAGGGCAAAGCTCATGCAGGAAACTCTTCCAGGGCTGAATCTGGGCCTCGGGACTGCAGTACAGGCAGGTGAGTGTGTTCCCAGCTGTCCCAGGTTGCTCCTCTGGAGGACCAAGCCACATCCCTGTGCGGTGGGGTTGGAGAAGAGGTGTGGGTTGATTCTGAGGTTGCCTGGAGTGTCCTTGGGATGAGGGCTGGGATATGAGTGGGGTGGGTGTTCAGGGGCCAAGTCACAGGTTTCCTTACAGAGACCCTTCGAAAGCCCATCCTCAGGGCTGAACCAGTCTCTGTGGTCACCTGGAGGATGCAGGTAATCATTTCATGTGAGGGGACCACAGGGGCCCAGAAGTACCATCTGTATAAAGAGGGAGGCCCAGATCCCTGGCGCACACAGACCCCACTGTACCCTGGGGACAAGGCCGAGTTCTTCATCCCATCCACTGAACAGCACCATGCCGGGCAATATCGCTGTTACTACCACACCCCTACTGGCTGGTCAGAGCGCAGTGACATCCTGGAGTTGATGGTGACAGGTAAGAGGCAACTCAGGATCCCCAGTCTAGGTCCTGTCCTCAGGAGAGTGTCTTCCCTCTGGTGTGTCCCTTCTCACATGTCCCTGGGGGACAAAGTGGGAGGTGTTAGTCCATTTCACACTCTGTCACCTTCTTTTCTAGGATTCTACAGCAAACCCAGCCTGTCAGCCATTCCCAACCCTGTGGTGACATCAGGAGGGAATGTGACCCTCCAATGCACCTCAGGGCAGGGATATGATGGGTTTGCTTTGACTAAGGAAAATCAACAGACGCTCTCCTGGACCCTGGACTCACAGTATATATACTCTAATGGACAGTTCCGGGCCCTGTTCTCTGTGGATCCTGTGACCCTCAGTCAGAAGTGGATATTCAGATGCTATGGCTATCATCTGAGCAACCCTCAAGTGTGGTCAAAACCCAGTGAGCCCCTGGAGCTCCTGGCCTCAGGTAAGGGAGCCCCAGCCTTGCCCTTGAATGACGTTGGACCTGGTGCAGGTTCCTGGAGAGGCCCTGGTGTGTGATGAGTGAGGGGAGCCAGGGTTCCTGCATCTGTTGACATGGAGAATGGGGGACGTTGGAAATCCAAGATACAGAAACCAAGGTGGACAATGAGAGTGAAATCATGGTTGCAGGAGGGAGATGGGTCTCCACCAGCCCTTTGGCCATTCAGGGATCAAGTGTGATCACCATAGAATCATATGATAGATACTAGGTAGATAGATGTTGTATCATATATATATATATATATGTGATTTTATATACCTATAAATCTA